TTTGTATCACAGAATCCCAGAAGGGTTTGGGTTGGGAGGGACCTTTAAAGCCCACCCAGTGCCACCCCCTGCCATGGGCAGGGACACCTCCCACTAGCCCAGGTTGCCCAGAGCTTCATCCAGCCTGGCCTTGAACCCCTCCAGGGATGGGGCATCCACAGCTTCTCTGGGCACCCTGGGCCACTGCCTCACCACCATCACAGTGAAAAATTTCTTCCTAATGTCTAGTCTAAATTTACCCCCTTTTAGCTTATACCGTTACCCCTGATAGAGTGCCCCCCCATCTCTCCTGTAGCCCCCTTCAGGTACTGGAAGGCTGCTATTAGGTCTCCTCGGAGCCTTCTCTTCTCCAGGCTGAACACCCCCAACTCTTTCAGCCTGTCCTCATAGGGGAGGTGCTCCTGCCCTCTGATTAATTTTGTGGCTCGTACTACTTTTTTTTTTCTGTACTACTGCTGTTCTTGAAAGGAGGCTGGTTACTTAAAAGGATTGGGTGTTTGGCATAACATGTAAACTCTGTTCCTCCGGGTTAAGTGTGGATGAGTTCTACTTGAGGCTGGCCAAGCGCAGAGTCTCTTGCTCCTTGTCGATGTCTGCTTCGGCGTTCTGGGTGCGTTCGTAATAGGCTTGACTGTCACTTAGCAAAAACGCTATGGTTTCGCCCGCTTTTTTCCTTACGGCTTTTTCAAAAGTCTGGGAAATCGAAGAATCCATAACTGGAAATAATCTTACAGTACTCCAGGCTGAGGTGGAGGTGCTGCTTACTAAACCAGCAGAAAACGTCTGCCCTTTGGGGCTGCGTGAGTTTTTTGTCGTCTAGGTGAGCCAAACTGGCGCACGGTGCGGTTGGGCGAGGACCGGCGCTGGCACGAAGGAGGTGCAGTGCTCTTCAGCTGGCATGGATAGATGGGCTGCCATTCCTGTTGCCAGCTGCAATCTTGTTGATTTGCAAGTGTTGCCTAGTCATGGGGTTTAGATAAATCGTTGGAAGATGAAAACTTTGGCTTTGGGGAAGCAGGACATCTGGATTTGATTTCAAATCCTGCTGTTCATGACTTAGAGGACTAAGTACTTGTTTACTCCATCCTTTTCCCCTTGGTAAGTTTGGGGCTTTTCCCTGAGACCTGGTAAATACTCAGCACCTGAATAACAACACATTTTTACCTCAAAACCTGTGCTGTTAAGTACAGACCCAAAGAGAAGTTAGCGTCTCTGGTCTTGGGTAGGCTCTTGCTAACTCTGAAACTGTCTGTTGGAAGTGGGTGGGTTTTCCATTTCCCCTGAAGCAAGTGAGAAAGGCTTTGCCATAAGGACCGGGAGTATGTGGACTGTAAGTTCTCTTTTAGCTGAAGAAATGAAAGATCTTGAGGAGCTACATGTGTAACATTCTTTCTGGATACTATTTTGTTACTAATTATGTAGGTTCTGCTGGGAGAAGAAAGGTGGGTTTTAGTGGAGTTTTCTTGAGTCCTAGGGAAGAATTTGCATTCTGACTGACTTTATTTTATTCATGTTACCTTATGTCCTGTCTTTGAATGGGCTGGGTTTTTATCACAGTTCACATTGCTTCCAGAACATTACTTCTAGGCAAAGTTGTAGAATCACAGAACAGTTTGGGTGGGAAGGGACCTTAAAGCCCACCCAGGGCCACCCCCTGCCATGGGCAGGGACCCCTCCCACCAGCCCAGGTTGCCCAAAGCCTCATCCAGCCTGGCCTTGAACCCCTCCAGGGATGGGGCATCCACAGCTTCTCTGGGCAACCTGGGCCACTGCCTCACCCCCCGCACAGGAAAACATTTCTTCCTCACATCTCATCTCCATCTCCCCTCTTGCAGTTTCAAACTGATGGACGGTGGCTTGGCAACTTCTGCCAGTTCCCTCAGGACCTGCGGATGCATCTCATCAGGTCCATGGACTTGTGCACCTTCATGTTCCTTGGCTGGTCTCTAGCCTGATCTTCTCCTACAGTGGCCGGTTCTTTATTCTCCCAGTCCCTGCCTTTGCCTGCTGTGACGTGGACGATGTGGCTTGGGCACTTTATGGTGCACTTAAGGTGCTGAACAAGTGTGTTTTGTTCTTTTTATTGACTCAGCCTTAACGTATTCAAGTACTTAAATGTTCTTGCTTGGTATGGATCTGTTTTTAATAGGGCACATGCAGAATGCCAGGGTTGTCAGCGAAATGAATGCAGTCCTTTTCCAAAAATTGTTTCTCTGTTGTTTGGGAGGCAGCCTGTACCTAGGTGAATTTTTCAGCAAGTGTTGAAGGTTGGCTGTGTTGGCTCTGTCAATTCAACATGTGGTGTATCTGAGCAGAGCAACAGCTGGACAATCCCTGACCCTTTTTTCTTCCAGAAATTGTTTGTGCCCTTCTTAAAAGTGGAAGGTAATTGGGTGGGTAAGTGTTAGTCATGAGAGGTGCTGATGAAAGTGAGAGACTCTGAGAATACCAAAGGCAGGACAACTTTTAAATGTAAAACATGAATGTGTTTCCAAATTTAGACAGGGCCAAATGGGGTAGAAGATGTGTAGTAATTCAAATACAATTACCGTTATGTTTGTGCTTTATTTTGAAGCATCTGAAGCCTGAAAAAGGCTGTTTGGGGCTAACAAGTGTTATTGCCATGTTCTACCAATGCAGACTCCTCTCGTTCTCTGTGTGCATGCTGTAGTTCTGATTAGGAGTCAAAATTTGTACAGGCAGGACCTCAAAGTCTCTAAAAGCTAATGTGTTTCATATCCAGAATTAAAAATGTCCCATTGCAGTGTAACTGGATCTCGATCTCTCACGCAGACTGTGCTGAGCCCTTCTGGGAGGATGCTTCAAATGTGTGTTGGTCCCCAGCTGATCCCCAGCCTTGTGTGGGTTCCGCAAACTGGGCTCTCTTGTTCATGGTGTTTAAAAAAAAAAAAAAAAAGCTGGGGTGGCATTTTGTTGAAATGCTTGGTTTGAGAGGTCCTGTTAACCGCTAAGGCCGTTTTGGAGAGGTCACGGGTGGGTAAGGACAGTGGTAAGTAAACTACAAAATGAGGGAGAGTGTTTGACATGGGATACACTTTTTTTTTTAACCTCCTTCGTTAATAACAGCACAGACTTTTTGAACTTTTCACTCACAACATCTCTGGCTCTTCATTTGGTGGAAGCCGATTGCTGTCAAATTTGGTATCTTTCTCTAGTTTTACCTCTGAAAGAACATATGGGAGAAATGTATTACATTAAAAAAGTAAAAAGCTTTGGGGAGGAGGTGGCAGAGATAAGCAGGTGCACTCAGAAACAGCTTGGCACTATCTGTTGCAGGGCTGCTCCTGTGAAAGTGTTGGCATGCTCAGTGGCAAGGAAGCAAAGACCTCTGCATTTCGATGTTTGTGAGAAGTTCCAGTATGAACAAACGGCTTAGATGAAAGTAGCTCTGCTAGCTAATGACTGTAGCCCAGAGTTTGCTTGCTTTATCTCACTTCCAAACTAATTTCCTAACTTGCCTGCAATTTTTACTGGTAAACCCTGGGTAGGTTTTCTGTTCTCGGAGGTAAACCTTTTCATGATAAGCCTTACCCACTGACAGGGGAGCTGAAGGCGCTGAGCGTGGCAGTGGGTAGCTTGTCCCTGGCCAGCTTTCTCCCAGCACAGCTCTTTGTGTGCAGTTGCCTCCCAGATTTTGCCACAAGTTTGTATCTCAAGACAACTCCCTTTGCGTAGCTGGGACTCTGGCCAGACGCCGTAAATGTTCATGCAGTAACAGGGAATGAAAATCCCTTTACATCCAGCACAGCTTCCAGGGGCCTGTGTGTCACGGGGTTTTTTTTGTGTGGAGCGTGCGTTAGATTCCACCTTTCTGTAGGGAGATGTTGAAAGACTCTGGGTTGAAAGACCAACTCATCGTGTCTCTTCTGGTATTGGCGTTTTTGTGTCAACACGAGGTGTGTGTGAGCTGGGGAGGCTGGGTGCTGGCGGTGCTGGTTTGTGCCATTCAGAGCTCAGAAGGGCTGTGACTCCGTATCCTCGCAGAAGCGTTAGATGATTTTTGTTGTCAATGCATGTTGTAATTTAACCAACCAAGTGGAGGCTATGGAGCAGCCCTGTCCTAAAAGGTGTGTTTGTAAGATGGTAAATGCTGCCTAGAGGCGGTACAGCCAGAAGTGAGCTGGCTGGATGCTAGCCAAGAGCAACATCTGGGTAGTGAGGTGGGAGCTGGGCTCTTCTCTAAAGTAACAAGTGATGGGACATGAGGAAACGGCCTCAAGTTGCACCAGGGGAGGTTTAGGCTGGATATCAGAAAGAATTTCCTCACTGCAAGAGTGCTGAGGCATTGGAACAGGCTGCCCAGGGCAGTGGTGGAGTCACCATCCCTGGAGGGGGTCAAGAAACGTGTGGATGTGGTGCTTAGAGACATGGGTTAGTGGGTTGGGTGGGGTTGGGTTGAGGGTTGGACTTGGTGATCCTTGAGGTCTTTGACAACCTTAGTGATTCTGTGACAGCGTGGGCATCAGACACTGCATGGTAGCCCAGGGTTACCTAGTCCGTGGCAGCCTGTGTTCCCGCAGTATGCACTGCTGAAAGTCTGCGATGTTTCTAACACGGCTGAAGCATCCCAGCTAGCTTCAGCGCAGCCGTGTGCTGCTGGATCTCCAGCCTGACGTGTGGATCTGGCTGTGATGGGGTGGGCTGGGGGTGTCTGGTTTTTCCACGCCTGAGCACTGGAGCTGGTGCGGGTCAGGGGAACAGGCTGGTTTTGGGTATCAGTGTCTGCTCCCATTGTGGTGGGTGCCTGCTGAGCTCCTGTCAGACACAAAACGCTGGTTGCCTGCTCATGCGGATCAGCAGCCAAGGGCAATAATACAGAGAAACGCTTGCATTAGCAGCCCTGTGCAGTGTCGCACAACTTTGGTACCAATGCTCCGGACTAGCGGTCTCAAGTTTGAAGAACAGGCATAGGAAATTCTGAAGAGGCTGCTTCTGTTTGAAGGGGTGTAATACTCTGGGGCTTTTCTTCTTGGCTGTTGCAGCAGACTCATTACTGATTGGATTTCATGAACACAAATTCCTGAACTTTTTTTAGCCTCTCTGCTTTCCACCATGGACCAGGATTACGAGAGACGTCTCCTGCGCCAAATCAACATACAGAATGAAAACACAATGCCTTGTGTAAGTATGAGCAGGCTATGCTGCATGGCCTCAGTCTGGCTGTTAAGTTTTGTCTTTGTAACTGTGTTCACTTGAGCTATTGAAAGATATGTGACCTCTTTGAAGCAAACCTTAGTCTTTGATTGTGCTCTGAGCAGGTGTGAGTTCCTGAGCTTGACTACAGCAAAGCTGTTGAATATGTAAACTTGGTTTAGGTTGCAAGAAGGAGTCAAGATATTTTTATGTAGCTCAGTAATGCCTTTTTACTAAATTTCAGTAAGTACATGTGGAACTTAAAAAAATAGAGGGCTAACAAACAAGCAAACCGACCGTAGGGCTTGGCGAGATAATAGAGGCCCCCAAGATGGTCGGGGGCTGAGACCTGTGTTGCTTAACCTGGAGACAATGAGGCTCACGAGGGATGAAATTGTTGCTCTCAAGTAGCTGGTAGGTGGTTATGGAGAAAGTGGAGTCTGAGTCTTTTCAGAGGGATGCAGTGGAAGGGTTAGAGGCAACGGACACAAGCTGTGGTGGGGAATTCCAGTTAGATATTAGGAAAAAATGTTCACAGTGAGGGCATCCAAACACTGCGACAGGGAGCTTATGGGGTCATTGGCCTTGGAGATGCTGAAAACTCAACTGGATGAGGCTGTGACCTTCAATGTTACTTTGAAATCAGCCCTGTTCTGAGCTGGGGTCCTTTCTGACATAAATTATTCTATGGGGAAAAAAAAAAGTGACTGCAGTGGAGGAATCTGCTGCTCCCCCTGCAAGCAGTGTGCCCCACTCCAGCCTTCCACGTGTTTGCCTTGGCAACATCAGTTTGAGAAGGAGCGGTGAGAAAGAGGCCATTTAATTGCTGCTTTTGACAGAAGTTCCCATGGCAGTTGGACTCTGATGTGCTTAGTAGTTCTGTTAAGGGGATAAACGCATGCCTGGCTCTTCTACTTAGGCATATCCAGCTTTGACAAGACCTCATTGGTGTTTTTCAGGCCCCTGCTGTGATCAACACTTGTTCTTGTGTGTATCTTTTATTTCATAATTCAGGTAGCAGAGATGAGAAGAACCCTGACACCTTCCAATTCTCCGATGTCTTCTCCTAGTAAACACGGTGACAGATTCATTCCATCAAGAGCTGGAGCCAACTGGAGCATCAACTTCCACAGAATAAATGTAGGTTTTGCGCCCCTCTTCTACAGCTCAGTCTTGGAACTGAGGAAATGGTACCTTTTGTTTTGGCTGGCGTAGTCTGCTTACCTGCTGTGCCAGGGTCTTCTGCTGCCCCAAAAGAGTTCCTTTGTATGTATGTCTTCAAACAGGCTGCCCCTGTGGTCCAAGAGTCGTCTTCATTTGTTATTTTACCATATATCATGAAGTTTCTGTATGGTAATAGCATGTTTCTCCCTTTCAGGAAAATGAAAAATCACCAAGTCAAAACAGAAAAGCAAAGGATGCTACATCGGACAATGGCAAAGGTGAGACCACCTTTCTACCCCTTGTGCCACACCTGTAGCTTTTATTTCAAGCTGTTGGCAAGTTTGGAAGTCAAGGGAACACTGACGCTTTCATGCTTATGCAAAAACTTGTGCTGGTGTTTTAGGAAATGCCCACATCCCAGGAGTGAATACCAGGTCACCTCGATAGGCTTCTTACTAGCATCTGGGAAACAAGACACTGTTTGTGTCCCTTGATCTATTGTGCCGTGGAAGCACTTTCCTGATGAGGTGAAAGGAGGGGAAGCTCGCTGCTAGTCTTGATTCCAAGCTGGGGCCCAGGCCTGTTAAGAGGTCCTGTGAATGTACGAACCAGGCAGGCGTGATCCTGCTGCTTCCTGCAGAGCTGTTCACTGCTTCCAGGTTTTCTGCCTGAGTGCTTGTTTGGGTTCACAGATGGCCTTGCTTACTCTGCCTTGCTGAAGAATGAACTCTTAGGAGCAGGGATCGAGAAAGTGCAGGACCCCCAGACAGAAGACAGGAGACTGCAGCCATCCACTCCAGAGAAGAAGTCTCTCTTCACTGTAAGTTGGTTCCTTTGCGTTAAAACCAGTGGAGGCTGCACTTGTGCATCACAGGAGCAAAGCTGCTAGTGCGAGTGTGTTAGTGTTGTGGCTTGATGAAGATAAGCGGTTGATAACAAAATTTGTTGGCTTGTAAAGAGAACAGAAGTATGTGCAGCAAGCTGCGTACTTCCTATTTCTGTACTGGCAGGGAAGCTGAGTTAGAACCAAGGTGTTCTGGTTTTTTTGGACAGTGTGTTAAATGACCAAAGCAGACTTTTGGACCTCAGTGGAGATGAGGGATGGTTTTGTATGGTTCCAGAGCACCTGGAAAAGGGAGGAACTGAAAAGGCTGGAAAATCTGACCATGGGTGTTGGAGTTAGCTAGGCATTGGGCACCAGTGCATGTTGCAAGCGATCCTCTAGGTCTTGTGCGTGCTGGGGTTCTTACTGGATATGTTTTCTTTGTGCAGTATTCGCTCAGCACAAAACGCTCCAGTCCAGATGATGGCAACGAGGTCTCGCCGTATTCCCTGTCTCCTGTCAGCAACAAAAGGTAATACTGATTCTCCACAGACTGCGAGAAGGGAAGGGTTGTGACAGAGGATTCAGTGAGGTTCTCTAAGGCTGCTTTCTAAGGCACCCGGAATTGCTATGGGAATTGGTTTTGGAAATCTGGGGAGATAGTAAGTAGGGACAGTCAAGTTCTAAGGACTTCTGCAGGTGCCCAGGCTGCCTAGATACTTAATATGTCTTGGCCAACTTGCAGTAGACAGTTTACCTTTTTGCTTCCCAGCTGCTAGAACCTAATTCCTTCCAGTCTTACCTGCTGGAAAGAATTTTGCTGCCTCTTTGTCTACAGAAATGCAGGTATGCTTTAAAGAGTGGCTACATCTGTGTCTACCATGTTCTGTGATGTTTTTATATCTCTTTTTGTAAACAGTCAGAAGCTGCTAAGATCACCTCGAAAACCAACTCGGAAAATCTCAAAGATTCCTTTCAAAGTGCTGGATGCCCCAGAGCTGCAGGACGACTTCTACCTGAACCTAGTGGACTGGTCCTCTCTTAATGTCCTCAGCGTTGGCCTTGGGACTTGTGTTTACCTGTGGAGTGCTTGTACTAGCCAGGTACAGCCATCATCAGTGTCTGGAGATTGAAGTACCTGTTGCTGTAGGTCTTTCCCAGCCATAGCTTCTTTCAGAGCTGTGCTGTGTGAGGGATTCAGCACCTGCAGTGCTCTGTCCCAAACGAGGTACTTGTCGGTGAAGCAGTTAATAGTGTAGTATGACAATAACAAATCTTTTTTATTCCATTCTCTCGTACTTTCAAGGTAACCCGACTGTGTGATCTCTCTGTGGAAGGAGATTCTGTAACATCTGTGGGCTGGTCAGAACGGGTCAGTATAACATTGTCAACAATGGCAGGTGAAATGCTTGTAATTTAAACGCTGTCATTGTAGCTGTATAGCTCTCCTCACAGGTTTTAACTTCTTGGGTTATTTTCCTGTATTTCCTTCAAGCTCCCTGTATGCATCACAAATCAAATGTGTTTTCCTATCTGCACTATTTTTTTCTGCTAAATGAGGGGCATAGAAAGCAACCTCTTGTATCCAGAGGTTCCTGGAATGTGTCGATAACAAGTCTGCAGGTGTTGTGCTGGACCTTGTTCTCACCAACAAGGAAGGGCTGGTGGGGAACGTGAAGCTCAAGGGCAGCCTGGGCTGCAGTGACCATGAGATGGTGGAGTTCAAGATCCTTATGGCAGTGAGGAGGGCACACAGCAAACTCACTACCCTGGACTTCAGGAGAGCAGACTGACCTCTTCAGGGATCTGCTTGGTAGAGTACCATGGGATGAAGCTCTGGAGGGAAGAGGGGCCCAAGAAAACTGGAGAATACTTGAGGATCACCTCCTCCAGGAGGTTCACCTCCTCCAGGCTAGGAGCCATGCACACCAACAAAGAGGGAGTCAGGCAAAAATGCCAGGAGGCCTGCACGGATGAACAAGGAGCTCCTGGACAAACTCAAACACAAAAAGGAAGCCCACAGAGGGTGGAAGCAAGCACAGGTACTCTGGGACAAATACAGAGAAACTGAGCAACCAAGGATCAGGTTAGGAAAACTAAAGCCCTGATAGAATTAAATCTGGCCGGAGACATCAAGGGCAACAAGAAATGCTTCTATAGGTGTGTCGGTGATGAAAGGAAGGCCAGGGAAAATGTGGGCCCTCTCAAGAAGGAAACAGGAGACATGGTTACCCAGGATATGGAGAAGGCTGAGGTACTCAATTCCTTTTTTGTCTCAGTCTTTGCTGGAAAGGGCTCGAGCCACACTGCCCAAGTTGCAGCAGGCAAAGGCAGCGACTGGGAGAAGGAAGAACTGCCCACTGTATGAGAAGATCAGGTTTGAGACCATCTAAGGAACCTGAAGGTGCACAAGTCCATGGGACCTGATGAGATGCATCCACAGGTCCTGAGGGAGCTGGCAGATGAAGTTGCTAAGCCACTGTCCATCATATTTCAAAAGTCAAGGCTGTTGGCCAAAGTGCCCAGTGACTGGAGAAAAGAGAATATTGCACCCATTTTTAAAAAGGTTAAAAATTAGGACCCTGAGGCTTAGGCTGGTCAGTCTCACCTCTGTGCCTGGCAAGATCATGGAGCAGATGCTCCTGGAGACTGTGCTAAGGTACATGGAAATAAGGAGGTGACTGGTGACAGCCAACATGGCTTCACCAAGGGAAAATTGTGCCTGACAAAGTTAGTGGCCTTCTACAACGGGGTCACAGCATTGGTGGATAAGGGAAAAGCAACTGATGTCATCTACCTGGACTTGTGCAAAGCCTTTGACACTGTCCTGCACAATATCCTTGTCTCTAAGTTGGAGAGACACGGTCTCAACAGGACCACTCAGTGGATGAGGAACTGGCT